CTGTAACACGGCATTTAGTGTTTACAGTGTAGTTGATGTGGAAAGATCATAATGTTTATGGTTGGCGTGTAGCCTAGCTTGTGAAGTCACTGTTAATAAATACCTGTAGGCTATGTGAGTTTGAGGAGGAGAGAGAGAGGAGAATATTAGTGCTAGTGTAGCACATGGGGGATGTGTAAAACTTACTCCTCAGCCTGAAGTGTCCCCACTTGCGCTGCCTAATAGCTAGCTTTTCCATGGAGCGGCTGGTAAGACGCTTCAGGAAGGCGGTCACGTGTGCTAGCAAGGCAGAGGTCTCGAGTTTGCGCCAGGTATGGGCCCGAATCTGGAGGAATTGGTACTCTCTAAGCAAGCAGCGTGACGTCATTTACACTAGCAATGGATTTGTTTTTTTAGGTGGAATAGAAGATGCAGCTTCTGTGTCATTGCACTGAACAACAATAGCCCAGGGCCTCCTGAGTGGTGCAGCGGTCTAAGGCACTGCATCGCAGTGCTAGAGGCGTCACTACAGACCCGGGTTCCCAGGCTGTGTCGCAGCCGGCCGCGACCGGGTGACCCATGAGGCGGCGCACAATTGGCCCAGCGTCGTCCGGGTTAGGGGAGGGTTTGGCCGGCCGGGATCTCCTTGTCCATCACGCTCTAGTGACTCCTTGTGGCGGGCCGGTTTCATGCACGCTGACTGCAGTCGCCAGTTGTACGGCGTTTCCTCCAACACATTGGTGCGGCTGGCTTCCGGGTTAAGCGAGCAGTGTGTCAAGAAGCAGTGCGGCTTGGCAGGGTCGTGTTTCAGAGGACGCATGGCTCTCGACCTTCACCTCTCCCAAGTCCATACGGGAGTTGCAGCGATGGGACAAGACTGTAACTACCAATTGGATAACACGAAACTGGGGAGAAAACGGGTACAAAAATTAATTAAAAATTGCCCAGACAGTTAGGATTTTCACTCAAACATTGAGTACTTTCCAAGCTTGGCTTATAAAAGCTTCACAATCAATCCCCACCAGTGGTTCTCTGTAAGTCACACAAAGGTAGGAATGTTGACGAGGGTTCCATCTTTAGGGAGAGACTTTTTGCTTCATTCTACCCCAGCAATGGTCCAGAATCCTCCAGTGTGATGGAGGTTTTAGCAGCTCTTTAGATGTGTTTGGAACGAACCCCTTGTTGCTATGGCATCGGCACGTCTCCATTTCACACCAAGTCTCGGTGTTCACACTCAAACAGCTCTCGTCTTGCTTTTTCTCACCTTTATCTAGTCATACTGTTGACCAGGCCTCCCCCTTTTACCTTGTCTGGGCCCAACAGACTTCAGTTAATGATCAATTTTAGAGACAGATTTTGGAGGTATTCCTCAGGTAGCAATAGTATCTCTGACCCTTTTCTCTGAAATCAAACTGCCATTTAGCATAGCCTTGTAACATTGCTTTTATGTGTATTTTTGTGTGTGTGGTCATGGGCGTCTGCGGATGCATGCTCTGATGTGTGTGAATGTGTGTATAGGTATGTGTTTGATGTGTGTCCAGGCATAGAGGGCTGGAAGGTGAATCCCCTAATTTCCCCATGGACTCAATTAACTTTGTGATTGGTTGAGATCTGCCCAGGTTCTCTTCTCTTTCAAAGCAGCGAGAGAGACCTTTGAAACTGGGCTGGAAGAAGAGGGTTGAATGTGAGATGAGCTGCCCACAGTAGCAGACATGAAGAGAAGAATACTGTATACTTCAGTGTCTGTCTGTCTGCAGATGCGTAAGACCTATAAAGCCTGTTTACACTAGGGCTGGGAGGTACATCGTCTTTTAAGGTATACTGGTATGGATCCACATACCGGTATGGATTTTTACAATACTGTCTATAAAGGTATTTTTATACAGTGCTAAATAAATGAAAAGTTCTACAAATTGGACTACTTAACTGTCAGTTTTGTCCTAGTTTGGTTGAGTATAAAACAACCAGAATGTAGAAAGCCATTAAAACCACTTATAATTAATTTACTGCCATCCTAGGGTAATGCACTACTCATAAAACATATTTAGACTTGTTTTATTATTCAGAAACAGAAAATACCGTCAAAAATGAGAAAAATATCGTGATATGATATTTTGCCCATATCGCCCAGCACTATTATACAGTAGAACGTGTAACAAACCTATGTTCTTCATTACCAGCAATTCAAGTCAAGAAAGCAGTCCTTATGCTACTGTTGCTTCAGTTCTGTAATAAAGGACTTGGTTGTAAGTAAATTGCAGTATGCCAACACCTTTTAATGCACTCCAGGTCCATTGCTGATTACACTGTGCACTTGCGTATGTTTGTGTGTGTGCGTGCTATCATGTGTGTGTGCGTGCGTGCGCGTGTGTGTGTGTGCGCACGTGTGTGTGTATGTACGTGCTAGTGTGTGTATGTTTGTGTGTGTGTGTGTGTGTGTGATGCAAATCAGCCATATGGTTTTTCTGTGCTCCTCAGGTTGCCTGTGTTGGAGTCCACAGCCTCGTCAGGTGACCTGTCGCGACCCCATCACATGGTGTCTGTGGTCCCTAACCGTTACCCTCGCTGGTTCACACTCACCCACATAGAGTCCCAGCAGTGTGAACTGGCCTCCACCATGCTCACCGCAGCCAAAGGTACACACACACACACACACACACACACACACACTCTCACATTTGGGTCCCTTTCTCATTGTACTGTATGTGTGTTGTCCTGTTGATCCAGGTGATAGTCGTAAGCTGGAGACTGTACTAGAGTCCATCCAGAAGAACATCCACTCCTCATCTCACATCTTTAAACTGGGCCAGGACGCCTTCAAGATCGCTACTCTGATGGACAGCCTTCCAGACATCACACTGCTCAAAGTCTCACTGGAGCTTGGGCTACAGGTAGACAGACAGACAGACAGACAGACAGACAGACAGACAGACAGACAGACAGACAGACAGACAGACAGACAGACAGACAGACAGACAGACAGACAGACAGACAGACAGACAGACAGACAGACAGACAGACAGACAGACAGACAGACAGACAGACAGACAGACAGACACACACACACACACACACACACACACACACACTCACACACCTCTCTCCCATCCCTAACTGTCTCTCATTCACAGGTGATGAGGATAACCCTGTCTACGTTGAACTGGAGGAGGAGGGAGATGGTACGGTGGTTAGTTACCTGTGCCACCGAAGTAGGTAAGTGTACAATGTTTTCCCTTTCTATGATATACCTCATACAGTGAGCTCCAGAAGTATCGGGACAGTGACACATGTTGGAATGTTTTGGCTCTCTACTCCAGCACTTTGGATTTGAAATGATACAATGACTATGAAGTGCAGACTATAAGCTTTAATTTTACGGTATTTTCATCCATATCGGGTGAACCATTTAGAAATGATGATGAGTGAGAAAGTTACAGAGGCATAAATATCATACCCCACCAAAAAATGCTAATCTCCCCTGTTATTGTAATAGTGAGAGGTTAGCATGTCTTGGGGGTATGATATTTGTGTGTCTGAAACTTTCTTTCTCATCATTATTCACGATTAATTCAGGATTATCTGTAATCATAGTAGCCTCCACATGAATGTAGAAGTGTTCAGAAACATGTTCGGTTCTTATTTACAATAATATTGACTCCAAAATGACACAATACGTTATTTACCGTTAATTTCTATTGGGCACAAAATAATCTGAAACACAACCAAAACAAACACCAAATGCATCCAACAAATGTGTAGAGTCACAAGGTTGATGTAGTCATTGTGTGCTATGAACATGGAACCAAATACTTAACTTTTTACTACTTGAATACACATAAGTGAAGTTGTCCCAATAGTTTTGGTGCCCTAAAATGGGGGGACTATGTACAAAAAGTGCTGTAATTTCTAAACGGTTCACCCGATATGGATGAAAAACCCCTCAAATGAAAGCTGACAGTCTGCACTTTAACCGTTCTCCTACAATTTCCGCGGCCCCGAGGAAATCGAATTAACATAATTCAAAAATCCCCATCAGAATCCGTCTGTTTAAGCTAGCGATATCTACTTTTTTGCATCTGCGGTGAAAGGTGGCAGAGCTAGAGCGGTGTTTGTCAGACCATGAGACATCCCGAAAATCGGTCTTCTCACAAAAATGTCTGTAGCGTCCGAACGGTTTGGCCTACAAACAAAGATGAGACTCTCGCGAACACGATGGTGTTCTCCATTTTGCTCTATAACCCCCACAAGCATCACAGGACTCATCTGAAGTCGGTACAGCCTCTTCTGTAAACTTCTGTCTGTAGCGTCCGAACAGTTTGGTCTACACACTAATATGACTCCTCTGTGGGAAGGTGAGTCTCTCATGAACACGTACATGTTGGTTGTTTTGCTCTACAAGCCCACAAGACTCATCTAAAGGTCCCCGGTACCAGTTAAAACAATTAATGGAAGTGTATATGAAGGTAGTTTAGTGCCTAAAATAAGGGGTTAAATGTAAAAATATATATATAATTTTTTTAAATTAAATACATGTTTTCCTGATCTTTCTTATATCTCTCAGATATAGGACAGTCACTTCAGAACAAAATTCCTTTCGATTTTTGGGGGGACTATCTTGTTCCATGTAGTGAATCTGTTATTCAATGCTAATAGCAGTGATGCCAAATTCAATGTTTCATCAAATAAACCCCTTAAGGGGTCTTACATTTCTAAATCAAATAGCTAAATTATCGTTGCTATGACCATCTTAAAACAATTCCATATGTTAGCTTAGTAGAACCCCCCCCCCCCCAAAGTGCTGGTGTACAGAGACAAAACAACATAAAATGTGTCAAGTGGCCCAATACTTTTGGAGCTCACTGTATTTAGTTCATATTTAGTTCAGTACATATTTAGTTCATGATGAGGGCTTCAAAATATATATTGTTATTCAAATTACCCTGCTAATCCCCTGACTTCCCCCTCTTTTGTGTGTGTGCGTGTGTGTGTCTGTCCCAGGGGTATATGCGTTGGACAGCATCATGCAGAGTTGGTACACCCTCTTCACCCCGACCGAAGCCACCAGCATCGTGGCCACCACCGTCATGTCCAACACCACCATCGTCCGGCTGCACCTGGACTGTCATCAGCAGGAGAACCTGGCCTCCTCTGCCCGGACCCTGGCCCTGCAGTGTGCCATGAAGGACCCACAGAACTGTGCCCTCTCTGCCCTCACCCTCTGCGAGAAGGACCACATCGCCTTCGAGACGGCCTACCAGATTGTTCTGGACGCGGCCACCACGGGGATGAGCTACACACAGCTGTTCACGATAGCTAGGTACATGGAGCACAGGGGGTACCCTATGAGGGCGTACAAGTTAGCCACGTTAGCCATGGCTCATCTAAACCTCAGCTACAACCAGGATACCCACCCAGCCATCAATGACGTGCTGTGGGCCTGCGCTCTGAGTCACTCGCTGGGAAAGAACGAGCTGGCGGCCGTCATCCCCCTGGTGGTGAAGAGTGTGAAGTGTGCCACGGTGCTGTCTGATATTTTGCGGCGGTGCACACTGACCACGCCGGGGCTGGTGTCAGCGCTGCACAGCCGCAGGAACTCTGGGAAGCTGATGTCGCTGGACAAGGCTCCGCTCAGGCAGCTGCTGGATGCCACCATCGGGGCCTACATCAACACCACCCACTCTCGCCTCACGCACATCAGCCCGCGCCACTACAGTGAGTTCATAGAGTTCCTGGGGAAGGCCCGGGAGACGTTCCTCATGGCCCAGGATGGACACATCCAGTTCACACAGTTTATAGACAACCTCAAACAGATCTACAAGGGCAAGAAGAAACTCATGATGCTGGTGAGGGAGAGGTTTGGCTGACCAGGGTCGGCCCATAGGGAGAGATTTGGCTGACCAAGGTCGGCCCCTAGGGGAGGTTTGGCTGACCAGGGTCGGCCCCTAGGGGGAGGTTTGGCTGACCAGGGTCGGCCCCTAGGGGGAGGTTTGGCTGACCAGGGTTGGCCCCTAGGGATAAGTTTGGCTGACCAGGGTCGGCCCCTAGGAAGAGGTTTGGCTGACCAGGGTCGGCCCCTAGGGGGAGGTTTGGCTGACCAGGGTCGGCCCCTAGGGAGAGGTTTGGCTGACCAGGGTCGGCCCCTAGGAAGAGGTTTGGCTGACCAGGGTCGGCCCCTAGGGGGATGTTTGGCTGACCAGGGTCGGCCCATAGGGAGAGGTTTGGCTGACCAGGGTCGGCCCCTAGGGAGAGGTTTGACTGACCAGGGTCGGCCCCTAGGGGGAGGTTTGGCTGACCATGGTCGGCCCCTAGGGAAAGGTTTGGCTGACCAGGGTCGGCCCCTAGTACTTTTATATTAACTTGATTCTGCCTTTTGAACTTCTTTGAACTTAAACATGGACAAGTGAAGAGTTGGAGGACAAAGCAAAAGAAGAAGGAAAACAATCTTTACAGAGCCACATGGTATTATTGTTCTTGCTGTTGTTATTGTTATCAACATTATTACTATTATGATTATTATTATTACTATGTGTACAGTACTATGTGTGTTTTATTTTCAGAAGAGGAAATATGTCACGTTGTGAATGTTGTGTGTGTATTTCTTTACGTGTGTGCGAGAGAAAAAAGCTGATAACTGAAATAGCTCTTTCTCAAATGTTTATTATTATTAGCATCCCCCCATTTTATATATTGGTTTTATGAGTATATGTTGTCAAGTGGCTTAAGGCCCTTGTGCGAAAGCGCTCGTGTAAAAACACATTGGCAGCCTCAAAGAGACACTATGGCTTTAAAACCACACAGACCTACTGACTATTGGAAGCACTGCACAGCTCGGCTCCATGAGAAAACCACCATTAGCATTTCTGTTGACTCATCACTTGTGTTTTCTCTGAGTCATAGGTATTAGTTAGATTGTAGTTTTAGAATAATGGTCTTAACAGACTGGTGTTGTTTCAGATGCAGTAATCATGACTATCTGTGTTAGATTAAGGACAACAATGCAGGACGACAGTAATGGCACATGGACCATACGATGAGGATATGGAGTATTATCAAAGAGTACCAGCATTTGATGTATTATGCCAGAAATATCCCACACTGTAAAAACAAATCCTGTTTACAGTAAAGTTTACAGTAATGTACTGTTAAACCAAAGTTTATTCAGAATTTACGGTAACTTTTTTTTTACAGTAACTTACAGGTAACTAACCGGCTGCCAGTAAGTTACCGTAAAAACAACAGGATTTTTATTATTTTTTACAGTGCACAATGTACTTAGAACCAACAAACCTGTAATTGTGGGTTAGCTACTGGTTCAAGTCTTATGATGAACAGTTTCTGGAGACATTGCCTCATACCTTCTCCAGTTTAACCCAGTCTTTACTAAATGTACTGTATTGGTGTTAGTTAAAAAAGTTTTTGGAAATGGAAGAAATACATTAGAAACCAGGTGGATCAGAAGACTAGCCTGGTGACCTGGCTGTTTTTGTTTTCACAAGAATACAGGCTGGGTAACTAATTACAGTACCATAGTTACCAGGGTTCTAGTTGTACAGATGTAGGATCTTAATTTGATCACCCTGTTACAGTAGAACTTTCCTGCAATGCAGGAAATGTTTTACTTGTAGCGTATTTTGAGGTTTAAAGAGGCTTCTGAAGTTTGTAACTTCCACTTTTACACAATTTCAGACTTGATTTTCCCTTACGAAAAATGGATCAACCCCTACAAAAATGCCCATTAATTATAATCTACATAATAATTCAAATGTCCTGTTGCTGCAGGATTATTTTCCTGCTGTAGCAATCTGGCTCAAATTAAGATCCCACATCTGTAAAATAGGTGAGTGTAGCTCCGGAAAGGGCCAGTGTCAATGCTTTCTGTGCGTGTGGAACCATAGGATAATTAGAATTCCATTATAATACAGTTTTAATAGGCCTATTCTATGTGTAGAACCTTCAGCAACTGTCAAAAGACGTTCTCAGGGATTTCTCTAAAACTAACAGGAAAAAGGAAGAAGGAACGAGTACAGGAAAACAAAACGATACGAGCAAGCATTTATTGTACTGTGTATATATACGATAGTATAAGTCTGAATATGGAGGATTCGAAAGTATATGTTAACTAATTTATACAGAGTATTCTATGGAATGTGAAATACTTGAAGCCGCTGTAGCTTGCTCTTTTTCTGTGAGTCTTTTTTTCTTATTTTTTTACCACAGAACACATCAGAAAGACTGACTTGGCCTTGCTAACGGAGGGTTACTGTAGGCTCACAAGGGTAGTGTCAGTACTAAGACATTGGTTCAGATTATTGAACTGCTATCAACAGTTTGATTTGGTATCTATTCAAAGGTATTGGAGTACAGTGAAAATATGCTCTTGTGCTCTTGGGTCACTTTTCACAATGAACAGATTTATGTATTTGACTGATATACAGTATTCCATTGATGCATGTCATATGGTAACCAGAGCATTGATTTTTCATTACATGGCATCATAACATTGATCAGCTGTTGAGAAATGACCAACATCCAGTTGTGTATAACTCTGGTCCTCAAAGGCCACCGGGTCTGCTGGTTCTCTTCCTTACCTGGTAATCCCAGGCTTTAGAGTTATACCTGGCTAACCAGTGGCGTGAAAGCTAGGTCAGTCAGTGATACTAATTGATCTATTAAAACCAGCAGGGCTGTGACCCTTCAGGACAAGAGTTGTGCTCCGCTGCAATGTCTGCTTGCCTCTGAACACGCCACAGACCAGACCAGTGTGTCTCTCTTCCTGTATGAGGTCCGGCTATTGTACTAATAACTTGTCGTGTTTCTTTATTTTTCTGTTTTTTTTAAAGTGCTTTCTCTTTTGTTCTGTAAAGAAGAAACAGCCTTTTCTCTTGCCTTGTCTTAACGCTTTAAAGTAACCAAACAGGAGTTCTAACAACCAAACACGTTCCAAGAAGTGAAAGCCAAGCCACCTTGGTCCCAGCTTTAGTGTCCTTAATTAGTAACTGAATGGCTCTGTAAACTCTCTGTGCTTTTAACGAAGCATTTCCTCATGTGTGTTTGGTGGAAAACTTTGTCCTGTGTCTCTCGTCCTCTAATGAAAGGATTTCCTCCGTTTCTTTCTAGCTATTTGATTTTTTCTGTTCGTGTAGGAAATGGAATCTTCTGTTTTCCCACTTTATTTATTACAATGATCCATGTATACATGCTTATGAAATTAAGATTTGATACACCGATATCAATTTATTTATGTAACTAAAATCACTGTTTTATAATCTTGTTAATGAGTCGATGATTGATTTTTTGTTGTTGTTTTAATTAAAGTAAGTTTTTTTGAAAGGTACATTTTGGGCTTCTTGGTTTTGTATTGGATGGTTACAGTACATCTCATTCTGATACACAAGGTTGCTCGAAAGAATGCGTTGGTCGGCATAGAAACAGACCAGCGAGTGGAGCTCAATCAGGAAAATCACTAAGAATCACTCACTGGATCCAGTTGTTCTGTATGCAGTTTTCAACTCTATCACAATAGCATTCAATGACATCCATAGTTTGTGAATCAAATTTGGAGCAGTCTATGCCACAAACCTGTTTACATGTATGTAACATTGACAATGTTGCCACAGCATCCCCAATTCCCCACAATGTTAAGAGAACATGGTTTATCAGTGTGTGTGTGGGTTTGTTTGGGGGGTTGGGAATAGGTGGTACCTCCAGACTACAGACAGTCCTGACAGCCGTGGGGTCCCCAGACTCCCATCCCTCATTAAATATTGACACAGAAACACTGAAACTGTCTGTGTGTGAACAGTAATAAGGCACAAACACACAGAGGTGGGCACAGCAATGCAGCAGCACAAGCTGTGTGTCTGTGTGTGTGTGTGTGTGTGTGTGTGTGTGTACAGTGCATTCGGAAAGTATTCAGACCCCTTCACCTTTTCCACGTTTTGTTTCGTTACAGCCTTATTCTAAAATGGATGAAATCAGGGGTTTTCCTCATAAAAAATGACAAAGCAAATACAGGTTAAGTATTCAGACCCTTTACTCAGTACTTTGTTGAAGCACCTTTGGTAGCGATTATAGCCTAGAGTCTTCTTGGGTATGACGCTACAAGCTCAGCACACATCCAGCTCGATCCTGACTAGTCTCCCAGTCCCTGCTGCTGAAAAGGATCTCTCTGTACTTTGCTCCGTTCATCTTTCCCTCGATCCTGACTAGTCTCCCAGTCCTTGGTGCTGAAAAACATCCCCACAGCATGATGCTGCCACCACCATGCTTCACCGTAGGGATGGTGCCAGGTTTCCTCCAGACGTGACGCTTGGCATTCAGGCCAAAGAGTTCAATCTTGGTTTCATCAGACCAGAGAATCTTGTTTCCCATGGTCTGAGAGTCCTTTAGGTGCCTTTTTGGCAAACTCCAAGTGTGCTGTCATGTGCCTTTTACTGAGGAGTGGCTTCCGTCTGGCTACTCTACCATAAGGGCTGATTGGTAGAGTGCTGCAGGGATGGTTGTCCTTCTGAAAGGTTCTCCCATTTCCACAGAGGAACTCTGGAGCTCTGTCAGAGTGACCATCGGGTTCTTGGTCACCTCCCTGACCAAGACCCTTCTCCCCCGATTCCTCAGTTTGGCCAGGTGGCCAGCTCTAGGAAGAGTCTTGGTGGTTCCAAACTTCTTCCATTTAAGAATGATGGAGGCCACTGTGTTCTTGGGGACCTTCAATGCTACAGAAATGTTTTGGTACCCTTCCCCAGACGGAAGCCATGCCTCAGTAAAAGGCACATGAAATGCCGCTTGGAGTTTGCCAAAAGGCACCTAAAGACTCTCAGACCATGAGAAACAAGATTCTCTGGTTTGATGAAACCAAGATTGAACTCTTTGGCCTGAATGCCAAGCGTCACGTCTGGAGGAAACCTGGCACCATCCCTACGGTGAAGCATGGTGGTGGCAGCATCATGCTGTGGGGATGTTTTTCAGCACCAAGGACTGGGAGACTAGTCAGGATCGAGGGAAAGATGAACGGAGCAAAGTACAGAGAGATCCTTGATGAAAACCTGCTCCAGAGCGCTCAGGACCTGACTGGGGTGAAGGTTCACCTTCCAACAGGACAATGACCCTAAGCACACAGCCAAGACAACGCAGGAGTGGCTTCGGGACAAGTCTCTGAAGGTTCTTGAGTGGCCCAGCCAGAGCCCGGACTTGAACCCGATCTAACATCTCTGGAGAGACCTGAAAATAGCTGTGCAGTGATGCTGCTCATCCAACCTGACAGAGCTTGAGAGGATCTGCAGAGAATAATGGGAGCCAAATACAGGTGTACCAAGCTTGTAGCGTCATACCCAAGAAGACTCGAAGCTGTAATCTCTGCAGAAGGTGCTTCAACAAAGTACTAGGTAAAGGGTTTCAGACTTATGTAAATGTGATATTTCAGTTTTGTACTTTTTTATAAATTAGCAAACATTTCTAAAAACCTGTTTTTGCTTTGTCATTATGGGGTACTGTATGTAGATTGATTAGGGGGAAAAAACAATGTTATCCATTATAGAATAAGGCTGTAACGTAACAAAATGTGGAAAAAGTCAAGGGGTCTGAATACTTTCCGAATGCACTGTATCTGGTATGGTGAGTCTTGATACATGTCTTTAAGTGCATCCTCTCTGGAAACCAGTGGCACCTTGTACAATTACTGTATATATGAAGACCTGGTAATCTGTGGATTCTGAAAGAGGTGTCGACGGTTTCAAGGTGCCACTACTTTTTCATGGTCCTTCGAGCCAGATTTGAACCAGGAACCTACCCAAAGACAGCATACAACAACCCCTGAAAAGCTAGTGTGCATGCTCACTAAACCACCATAGTAAAGGGTTCATAGGGCTACTCAGCAGCAGTGCGTAGTGTTTTGGTCACCAGTGGAATCTCCTTCTCTTCTCTGGCTGTTTGAATTTGACAGACCTTTCAATGAGGTCTGGATCTTT